ATTAATACGTTTATATAACAGTATAAACAGTCTTCGCTGACTTTTTGATATATTTTTTCAGATTCTTTGAATAGAAAAGAGCAGCATTTATTTGAAATAGTAAAGACATTTATAATCTTAAAATATTTCTGTCACTTTTAATCATCTTAATATTATTTAATATATACTGTATATATATATAGAGAGAGAGAGAGTACAACAGGGCTAAAGGCGCCCCTGGGTAAAAGGTGCCTTTGATATTATTTTCATCTAAACCACTAGATGGCACAAAAATGTGGCGTAGCACTTTCCAAAACATTTGCTTTTCAAGATACATAAGTATATTTGTCTGATCCTTGACGCGATCGCGCGCAGCAGCGCAAAGTTGATTCTGTGCTTACTTGATCTAATATTTTATGTTTTTTTAAATTGTAGATTTGAGTAGCAAATGATTATCGCTAAAATTAATACATATATTTTGAGGCAAAGGTTTTCTTAAAAATTTTCATAACAGTTTTTAAATAACGTAAAAAATATATAAAAGTATGGTATTTGGGGTAAAAAGCGCCCCTGCTGTTGCGGCTAAAGGCGCAGAGTAATTAACATGATAATTAATAGATGGATGACTTTTCCATTTGTTGACATGACATGGTTAAATTCAGATGATAATATCATATATTATGTTGGGTGTCCATATTAAGAGATAATCACCATGTTTAAAATGAAACCATCATATTTAAAAACATGATATTAATCATATCATATAATAAAATATCATTTGTCGTTACTACTGTAAATCTGTATTCAATTATGAGATCTCCTTCAATGCTTTCAGAATCTTGACTTTTTAAAACGATTTTGTTTCTGTATTTTAAAATATATTTTTTATATTAACATATTTTAATGACAGTATATTTATTGAACAAAAATTATTTTATTTTTCAAAATAAGCAGAAAATAGTTCAAACTTTGCTGAAGTGATTGTTTTGAGCAAGTATTAACTTATAAAATTAAAAACATTATAAAAAATATATATATTTTAGCTCAAGTATTTGTATCAATACATTCTGCCTTTTACCCCATACTTTTGTATGATTTATTTTTGCACAAAATCTGTTGCTCCACTAATGTTCAATACAAACATATATATTTCTTCTGCAACTATAGATTTTAGGCGCAGGAAATATAAAATGTTTTCTTAAGGTGTGCCTTTAGCCCTGTTGTACCCTATATATATATATATATATATATTAATATAGATGCTTTCTAATTTCAGTTCTTAGTAGGCATCTTGAATTATAATTATATTGTTTCTATTTCCAAAAGCTAATTTAAGTGAATGAGTTTTTAATCTCTTTGTCTCATGCACACATTGATATCAATGAATCAATTCAAATGAATTAATGTAAATGTAAATTAAAACTCACTTCTGAACCAGTTTATCTAAGATATCTTTATCAACTGGACCCGCCGTAACCTCAGAGACAGACACCTGGTCTATATAAAGTGAGGGTTTCTTTCTGCAAGTTGATCGTCTTCAGGGGTTGTGTGAAATTACATTCACATTTCTGCTTTAGTTTGGTTGGTGATTCTGTTCAGCGTGAACACAAGTTAAGATGCATCTGTTTGCCGTCTCTGTGCTGCTAATGCTTGCCTTTCCATTTATCATGACCGAACTTGATTCATTCAGTTCATGTCTTGATTCTTTTTCAAATGAAAAACCTCCAGTGATTCATGATATTCTGGAGAATTCAGTCTCAAAGGATCAAAACCGTTATAAATTGATCTGCCAAGAATATAAAGGCAGAATCTTTTTTGCAACTCTCTATGACACAGGAAATAAGATCCCCATTTTCTCAGCCTACAAATATACCGGGAAAGGAGCTTTCACAAGACCAAAGATTAATTTTCGCAGTGAGAGTAAGGTAATGTTTTTGATTTTTTTTTGTCTTATTTTAAAGCTTAAAATATATCTGTACTGAATTTACTTAAACTAAATTAGTATTTGTCATGTATTCTACTCTTGAGTGTACTGACTATCCATTTGTTTCATATGATTATTTGTTCTGTAGCTTAATAATCAGCAGCAGGCTCAAGATAATGACTATAAAAACAACAACATAAGGATGAGTCGTGGTCATTTATTTCCCAGCAGCCATGCAGCTGATCTAGAAACTGCTTCTTCTACATTCACCCTGACCAATGCTGTGCCACAGGAGGAAAGCTTTAATAATGGAATATGGAACATCAAGGAAGAAACTTTTCAAAAAAACATGAATGAAAACTGCCTTAGTAATAACAACAAAGTTGTGGCCCATGTGCTGACAGGAGCTATACCTGGCACCGAGAAAATGAAGGAGAAAGTGAACATTCCTTCACACATGTGGATGGCTTTTTGCTGCTATAACAAAAAGAAAGATTCATGGGTCTCCCAAGCTTACTGTGCTACAAACGAAGCAAACAGCAAAGCTGACCTTACTACAGAAAGCTTGTCTGAGTTACAGCAATTCATAAATGTTAAATTGGGGAAAGAAGTAGTTCTGTTTCATGACATGTGTAAATAACAAAATTATGGATTTGAGATCTCTGTCAAAACATAGTTCTTCAAGCGTGTTACAATTATCCTATTTTCTAAACTACAGATGTCTTAAATCGACAGCTTTGTCCTGTCTTTTGCACATACAAATGCTTCTTACCACATGCTTAGTATACTACTGTAAGGCAACACCAAATATGTTAAGGAATGTGCAAGAATGCTGAGTTTGTATACTGGCTTTTCACTAATAAAGTGTTGTGCATATCACAGTCGTCTCACTGAATATGTATATTTATTGTAAGGGAATTAATTAATTAATTATTTTTGATTTTATAGGGAATTTGAACAGAATCACTGTTTTACGGCTGATCACTGAGTCGGCCAGCAATTCATTGAACGAGCTGTATAACATCAACTTTGCAATGGATATAATGCAAATCCAAAATATAGTGAAAACACTATTAATTAGCACATAAGCAAGATTGGCAGTTTAAGACATTAACTTGTAAGCACAAAACACTAGATACTACTTTTCAATAGAAATAGTTTTATCTAATAAAGTCTTAAGACATGTAACCTAATCTAACACAAACACACACATTCACACAGATTGCAGAAAGAAAGACAGTGAGGAAAGAATGAGTTTAGAAGAGTGAAAATATGAAACCCCCAAGTTTATAGCAATATATGCAATTGCTTAGCCTCATTGAGAAACTTAATGCAAAGGTTAATTTGATGATTGATGTTAGCAATTGAAAAAAAAACTCTAATAGACCTGAACTACCAAGCGTTTACCAATACTTAACGTACTTTTTCTAAACTCTTAACACAGCAACACACCTACATCACAC